GGCGCTTACTGGCCACTTTGTTTATTATTTTGATTAATAAAATAACGCAAGCGCCAATTACCACACAACTTAGGGCAATTTTTGGTTACTTTGTCAATTAAAATAATAAATTGAATAACACTAACACCAATCACCGCACAACTCAGAGCACTTGCTGTCAGTTTGTTGATTAATATAATAAATAAAATAAGACATGTGCCAATCATCTCACAACTTAGAGCGCTTGCTGGTCACATTGTTAATTATTATATAGTTGATATAGTAACAAAAGCGTCGATAACCACACAACACAGAGCGCTTACTAGTCATATTGTCAATTAAAATAATAAATAGAATAACACTAGCACCAATCACCGCACAACTCAGAGCACTTGCTGTCAGTTTGTTGATTAATATAATAAATAAAATAACACATGCGCTCATTACTATCTAACCCAAAGCGCTTACAGGCTGCTTTGTTAATTAATATATATTTAATAAAATAACAAAAGCGTCACTAACTACACAACCCAAAGCGCTTACTAGTCATTTTGTCAATTAAAATAATAAATAGAATAACACTAACACCAATCACCGCACAACTCAGAGCACTTGCTGTCAGTTTGTTGATTAATATAATAAATAAAATAAGACATGTGCCAATCATCTCACAACTTAGAGCGCTTGCTGGTCACATTGTTAATTATTATATAGTTGATATAGTAACAAAAGCGTCGATAACCACACAACACAGAGCGCTTACTAGTCATATTGTCAATTAAAATAATAAATAGAATAACACTAGCACCAATCACCGCACAACTCAGAGCACTTGCTGTCAGTTTGTTGATTAATATAATAAATAAAATAACACATGTGCCAATCACCTCACAACTTAGAGCGCTTACTGGTCACTTCTTTAATCAACATAATAAATATAATAACAGAAGCACCAATCACTACACAGCCCAAAGCGCTTGTTGGTCACGTTGTTAATTATTATAATAATTAAAATAACACAAGCGCCAATCATGACACAACCCGAAGTGCTTACTGGCTGTCTGTTTCAATAAATAAATTATAAAAATAACACAAGCGCCAATCCCTACACAACTTGGAGCACTCACTGGTTGCTTTGTTAATTAATCTGATAAATAAAATTGCACAAGCGCTAATTACTACACAACCTGAAGCGCTTGCTAGTCGCTTGGTTGATTAATATGATAAATAAAATGACATAACCGCCAATTATTAAACAACCTAAAGCGCTTACTGGTCTCTCTGTTATTTAATATAATAAACAAAATGACATAAGCGCCAATCACCACACAACTCGGAGTGTTTACTGGCCGCTTTGTTAATAAATACAATAAATAAAATAACACAAGCGTCTTTTACTACACATACCTGAAGTTCTGACTGGTTGCTTTGTTAATTAATATAATAAATAAAATAACATATGTGCCAATTACTATATAACTCAGAGCACTTACTGGCTGCTTTGTTAATTAATATATTAAATAAAATAACAAAAGCGCCAATCACCCTATAATCTGGAGTGCTCACTGGCCGCTTTGTTTATTAATTTAATAAATTCTAAGTTAGTAAGCGCTTTGGGTTGTGTAGTAATCGGCGCTTGTGACGTTAAATTTATTATATTTGTATATTTATGTGTATATATGCTGGGCTTTACTTGAGGCTCGAGAAGCTCGAGAAACCCAGAACAAATTTGGACTGCTGCCGAATTATAGAAAGTGGAAATTTGTTGTCTAATTTTCTGGAATAAATTTGAGCTTCTGCGAGGGGTAGGGAAAGGATTTACAAAAATTGTTTCACTTTAAACAATTAACAAATACATTTACCAAAGAGAAAGAGATTAACGATAATTTCTGAGATAACGGAAATCACGGCGCTATCAAAGAATACTTGAAAATTCAGACTAGATCAGCTTTACAAAGCGAGCTGTCTACACTTTAAATTTGTCTGCCGATACTACGAATAGCGAGTCGATCGTGCAGATAAAATTGACAACGCTTCAACAAAAACACTGCCTCGACATGACGATTAGCTAGCCGTTCGTGCAGTTCTTATCTATTTGAATGCTGCTGCTTAGGGCCTTAAAAGATAAAAGATACTTAAATTTACAAATCAAGCGTGGAGCAGTTAATCTCTGCGGTGTTGCTGCTGCTTGGGCACATCTTTAGCCTAAAGATCGACTCTGCTGCGTTATACTGCTTGCTTGAGTATAATTGCTGTTGCGTAGGTACGTCTACTTCGCTCAAAGTCTGGACGGGGAGAGTGCCGCAAGCGAGCTGCCCAAGCCAGACCTACTCGCAGCAAGCCTCATCAAATGTTGAATACAATACGCGGGAAGGGGGAACAGAAACACTCGCACAAGTGGCTTAAATATGCACTCCTTGCGGAAGTGTGACCCCCTACCTCTCGCACAGCAAAATCTGCTAGTCATATTAAAGGAAAACTCGCAGCAACAGTGCAAAGACACTCGCAGCGATACTTAAATTTATAAATGAACAATATTAATTACCAAAGCAACCAGTGAGCTCCTTGGGTCGTGTTGTGAGTAGCACTTGTTATTATTGAAAGCATTCAATTTTAAATTGGCCAGTAGTCGTTCTTGCACCTCTCTTAAAGAGGACGCGTTAGGTTGGGGATCTAAACCACCAATCGGAGCCTAACCTAATTAATTTTAATTGGTACGTGTACAGTCATGATGAAACAATTTTACAGTAATTGATGGTTAAAACTGCTGATCTCACAGATTTTACAATAAGTTTAATTTTCTGTCGAAATTGTGTATGACATTTCTGGTGGACATACGCAATAAAAAACGTTGAAGTTATTGATTAATTACATTCTTTGATGTACTTGTGCGAATTGATTTTGTAACATTAGTGTTTTATTAAAATGTTGGAGGTTGCACACGTAGTTTATGTTTTGCGACGACACCTCGTTTTAAAAGAAGTATGTTATATGTTACGTGATCATGAAGCTTGGGAGCTGCAGTTAAATAATAATAGAAAATATGAACTGAAGACATTTTAAAGTCTTGATTCATTTCAAAAATTATCAGCACCCTCTCATGCGTGTAAAATTTGTAATACATTATGTGTTATACAAAATATTAATGAGAAATAGTAATAGAGGCATGAAAAGTAAGTGTAGCTCTATATGTATTTCATAATAAAAGTTCCTTAATTAAATCATTATTTTCTTTTGTAATTATTCTTAAGTTTCATATGTACCTTCGTAAATGTGAATAATATTTGGATGTTCTACGCTGGACATAATTTGTATCTCTCTTCGGATGCGGATTAAATCGGCTTCTGTTTCAATTTTACATTTTTTAATGGTTTTAATGGCGACTTCTTGTCCTGTTTCCTTGTTTATTCCCAACTGAACCTTGCCATAAGTACCTTGACCAAGTTTTTTAATTATGTCAAACCTTAAAACATAAAAAAACATTAGTCACTCTTGAAAAGACTTCACTAATTTTTTTATTTTTAAACTTGAAATCAATTTATATTAAGTATACAAGTGACGGAATTAATATTTATTAAATAACACAAGATATTACAAATAAAAATCGTATTTTGATAAGGAACGATAATGCTTTTTTTAAATCATTTAGCAGTACGTGAATGATAACAGCACTATTGTTTGTAAAATATCTGAATCAGTTTTTTAAGCAACTTGAAAAGATTCAACATTTCTAGCTTGCATCATCAAATGGTAATTTTCCTACGAGTTTAAAAAGTCTCTGTTTGCGTACCGAGAGGTTTGCGGCCCAAGCCGAAGGCGAGGGACGTAACGAGGTTCGTAAAGGAGACTTTTCGAACGAGTTCCGGAAAACTGCTTTTTTGCCCAAGGAAGTACCAGCCTCCCAAAACCACCCGAGGGCGGAAAATAGTAGTTTTCATCGGATAAGTGCCATCGTCTCCGGGGCTGTTTTGCGGCCCAAGGGACCTGCGAAGCAGGGCTTGACGGACATAAGGTAGCCACAGAGCGATGGCGCTTATGTGGCAAATGCTATTTTTCCTACCGAGGGCACATCAGCTTGTCAAAAACGCCCGAGGTAGGAAAATTGTGTTTTAAACAAAAACCACAGTATTCGTATTTTATATATTTTTACGTATTTCTGAGGTTATATCGCATCTCAAACTTTGTTTATTGTATCTACTTTCTAGTACCACTTTGTTCATTGTACCTACTTTCTAGTGCCACCGTATAGTATAGATATTTTTCTAGAATATCCATTGTTAATAATCCAGATATGATTATTCACCGCTGAGTTATAGAAGTTTTAGTACAATGACATTAAAACTTCATGAAAGTTAAGGGTTAAATAATAAAACTTTAGGGATCATCTTATTCAAACTGTTTAAGATTCGTTTTGTAGGAAAAAGCAATACCATGCGGGAGTATGTGAAACTTACACAAAAATATTACGGTGTAGATAACTGTTAAAGATGTAACATTGCCACTTTTTAAAAATTAGGATTACTCAAAATCTTGACGTAACAGGACTTTGATGGAGGATTTAGTTGCTATAAAACTAAATATGCGTCTCTTACCTTCAATAGCGATAGCTCACCAGTTCTTAAGAGCTCTGTATTTTTCGTATGACTCTTAGTGAAAATTAATGAAATTCTATTAATAAATAGAAAAAATCCAATAGTTTTGGTGTCTTACATGCAGCATATAGTATGTGATTTATCATTTCAAATTATATGCTTTGTACTGCTACATTAATTTGGCCACGCAATCCACCGTGCAAGGGACGGTGTAGTTTAATAATTTTTATAGCTGATGCTAGTGTTTGCAATAAGGTGAGTCTATAAAGCATAAAATAAGTCATGTTGTAAAGTATCTCATTTCATAATTGGATAAAATGTTGATATTTGGTCAGAACGCTAACCTTTAAATCATTCCCTACTACAATTTCTCAGGTGAGATCTTAGGTGCTTTCTTATCTCAAAATTTCACCAGAGAAATAAAATTTTATGCTTCAATTTTTTCACGTTATCAACATTCTTTATCAATTTCTGACAACTTTTGAAAAATTTGGATTTGGAAATTTTTTTCTGTTTCAGACTTAAAATTTTTCTGAAAACTTCCGAAAATCGTACTATTTGATAAAAAAATCTGTGCATTAATATGGTAGCGTAGTAGTACTATGTTGGAAAGTTGAAAAACTAGGGTACAGCTATGACACTATTATAAACTGACTTGATCTGTTACCATTTTTGATAGTATTTTATCTATTTATTCTTGTCAATCAACTCTCAATTATCGGTATAGAAGTTAGTTGGAACAATTGTCTATTGAAAAAAAGTCTGGTTTTCAAAGAAAGCAGTTGTTCCTTTTTTTATACACTGAGAAAGACACAATAGTTCTCCTATTCAGTGCTTTGTACAATCATCTTGTCATCAGCACAGTTAGAGCGATTAACAGGTAGAAGTGTAATAAAATCTCAGTGTAAACACACCATCTACTTAAACTTTTCTTTTTTAAATTATGATTTATGTAAGTAATATTAACGATTGGTATGAGTAAAGCTAAAAAATTTTATAAGTGTCACTGTGTTTGTTTTACAATTTTTTATGTCGTACACGTATATAGAATAAAATTTTTTTATATGATAAGGCAAACGTTTTCGATTCTACCATTAAATATAAAACGTTTATTCATTACCAAGTGGATATTAAACGTTTATGTAGTTGTATGGATCTTTTTTCTCTCCTGGACAACCAATACAACTTTTTTTATCATTTCGGTAAGTCAAGCCTTTCTTTTTCTGTTTAGTTGTTTATCTTTGATTAAGTAAATGATTAATTTGCGAAACTCATCCTAAATTATCACTACGCACTTATAAGTCAGTATCTCTCTCGCTGTATTTATGTGTACACTCGTATTTAATGTCTTGCATCTTATAAGCAAACTCACCTACCTATGCAAAAATATCACCTTTTTTTCCTCCGATTGATACTGTCATGCAACATGACACTTTGAGTTTGTGAAAGTAAATAGGTGGTCTGCATTTATTTTCAGTCTTGTTTTTCAAATTAGATATGCAATTACGATTAAAACAAAATTTGTCTCATTTATGTTAAAGTTAAAAACAAAATATTCGTCGTGACACTATTAAGAATGTGCTGACACAAGTTGATCGAATATTAAAAATAACGTCTGCAATAAAGTTCCCGCATTTTTGGCAACTTATTATAAAGAGGCAGATCACCTAATCAATCAGTTTGTCTCTACAATCCACGTGCTGCTCACGTGGCTGTGAGCGGTTTTGGAAAACTAACGCAAAAGCGTAGCGGTAGTACAGATTGTATGACCATTCAGTTTACTTTAAAAATCCATACATTGCTCATGAAGCGATTTACCGCTGCAGTGAAAAAACTTTGGACCATAGTAGCAGCCATAACTCTATCGAATATGCCTGGTTGAGAGGCAATTCCATGTATGACACATACTATGTTTTACTTGTCAAGGCATGTGCTCACTGTGGGCTGAAATCACTCTCACAAAATGTGAATGAATACAACGCATGGTTATGTGCATTCAAGTAATCGTGGCAGTGTATGTTCTGAAATGTAGTAGCTGATACTGAGCTATAGTTTTTATGGTGTGCTACTACTATGCACTTTGTCTACCGTTTAACTCATTACTAAAACGTTTGATCCGTGTTTGCCGTGTTATTGTACTGTTGATCAAACTTTTTAAGCATCAATATAGATAAAATGTAATATTAAACTGCAAACAAAAACATCAAAATTTTTTTGTAGAGTCTCGATATCTTGTTTAGAGACAAGTAAGCTACCACAAAAAGGTGGATTGCACGATCGATGAATTTATTTTGCAGATCCACGAGCCAGCCACGTGATGGCAAACGTTCTTCGGAGAGCTAGTGCAGCAGCGTCGTGGCGGTTCGTACGACAAATCAGTTTATTTTGGTAATTCATGGGTTGATAACGAATCTGTAAGTTTCTTCAGAGAGTTAGCGTAAAGAAGATTCGTGTGAAAAATAAAGTAGATTGGCCACTTTTGTAAGTTTTTTCGGTACTATCCTACTTTATCGTTGCTAGAATGTTTGGCCCCTGTACGTCGTTGTATTATACTGACCATAAAATTTTCCAAGTATTTAAATATGTCTTTGCTCCTTATTGTACTACTTTGTAAAAATTATATCATTTTAATTAAGAGTACACAGAAATCACAGTCCCATTAAACAATTAAATTTTTTTTTGGCGAATTGACTGGTATGTCATTAGCATAGTTAAAATTTGTTTATCCTTTTTTCTTAAATTACGATGTATTTAGGTGATATTGATCGTTTGTATGAGAAAAGTAAACGTATTTCATAACTTCTTATGTCATACATACGTATGACATGAAAACTTTTTATCCTATATTATACACGTTCCCAATCCTTCATGTGTAATACAACGACCAAGTACGTATTGAATGTTAACATAGTTCTACAGATCTCTGTCCTGTACAGGACAACCTGAAATACTTCCGTTATCATTTCCGTAACCTTAGACAATTTTTTTTCAGTTGCTTATCTTTTATTGTACGTATTGTTTGCGAAAGTTATCCTACATCATTTGCTACACCCATATAAGCTTTACTATTTACTATCAACTTAACTTGTTAAATGTCATATAGTGCTGAGTTTTTCTTCAATATACACATATATAATAATAAACCTTCGCCCCCCCCCCCTCCTGGACGCTCAATCCTCCAATCCACTGTTCGTAGTTTAAAATTAATTAGTAAAATAGAAGTGTCTAAATTTTTTTGCAATCTTTTAGCGAAAAATAACGTTATCAAAAATATTAAGGCGTTGAGTATCAAGATAAAATATTGAATCAGTACAATTTTTATGGTTTCAACAATACTTTTGACAAATTAAGTATTTAATATTAGAAATCACGAAAATTTATTATTTGTTTCATGCAAAAGAATAATTTAAAATTAAAAAAAATTCATTGTGAAAGTTCTNCAATTTATATTAAGTATACAAGTGACGGAATTAACGTTTTGTTAATTAATATAATAAATAATATAAAACAAACGTCTCTCTTAGTGGCTGCTTTATTAATTAATATAATAAATAAATTAACTCAAGTACCAATCACCACAAGACCCGGAGCGCTAACTAGGCGCTTCGTTTATTATTAAAAAAAATTAAATAACAGAAGCGCCAATTAACACACTACCTAGGGCACTCATTGGTCTTTCCTTTAATAAATGTAACAAATAAAATAACGCAAGGGCCAATTACCACACAATCCAGAGCGCTTACTGGTTGCTTTGTTGATTTGTATAATAAAATAGATAACACAAGCGTCAATCACCACACAACTCGGAGAGCTCACTGGTCACTTTATCAATGAATATAATCTATTGAATAATGTAACCGCAGATAACTAC